AATAAACTGTTAATTTATCGACACTCTTCTAAATCTAAATATCAAATTAAACCTTCTGCTTATCACCCATAAATATTGCTTCGCTTATCACTCATAAGCATCTTAAAGAACTGACCATAACAATATAGATGAGACTCTAGTTACTTTTGATTTATCTTCAAATACAACATTGAATCAATACGATACTTCAATAGTGACTATTCGTATAACTGATTATAAAAACTCATTTTACTATTGTTTTATCATGTTTAGCTGATGGTACTAAACTTCCAACTACTTGTATTTTTAAATTGAAAAATATTCCAAAAGAGCAATTTCCTTAAGGTATTAATATTTATGTAAATGAAAAAGGATGGATGAATGAAAATGAAATATTATAGTGGATTGAAAATGTATGGAATCAATGTAATCCATTAGGTAACCCTTGATCTCTTCTAGTTTTAGATGCTTTTAGAGGCATTTGGTTAATTCTGTTAAAAATAGATTTATTGAAAAACAAACAAATATAGCAGTAATTTCAGATGGTTTAACTAGTAAGCTTCAACCATTGAATGTCTCTATTAATAAAAGTTTTAAATCTAAATTGAGACAATACTATCAAGATTGGATGCTTCAAAAATGCATTAATTAACACCAGCAGAACGTATTAAAAAACCATTCTATTTTACAATTGTTAAATGGGTTATAGACTCATGGAATGATGTTGATACTATTTTAATTTGCAAATCATTCAAATGTTGTGAAATATCAGTAGCTAGAGATGGAAGTAAAGATCATTTATTATTTAATTATGACTCTTTAACTAAAAAAAAAAAAATAATAGAAGAAATGATATTTATCATGAAGATGAAGTAGAAATTAGTAAGTCAGATAATGAACTTGAAAATAATTTGCCATTAGAAGATTTAGAGTTTAATGGATATGATGAAAAACTATCAAATTATGAAAATGTTTGGAATTAGTTTTTTTTTGAATTTTTTTTTATATTAATTTTTACATATATCAAATAAATCAAATTTTATATCTAAATAAATTTTTTAATCGAAGTATTGTATTCCTAGATATGATACATTTTTTTAAAAATAAAATTTAAAACTTTGGTATTTTGTATCCAAGGTATAATACATTTTTTATTATTAAAAATACCAGAAGGGTACAATACTCAGGAGGTACTTTAATCGACCATTTACGGTAATATTTACTTGTAAGCTAGTTGAATTTTAACTGTCAAAAAATGTCAAAATATTTATATTTTTATTTTTATGCAAAATTATTTATTATAAAATTTGAAAAATTAACTTTTATTTATATTTTAGACGTTTGGACAACTGCTGCTACCTTTTGGTTGTATTGACTTATATAATGAGAGATCCAATTTCATATAGTTTCCAATTTCAGTACCTCCTCTTCTTCAATTATACTATTTTTCACATTTTGCTTTAATTGGTCAAGTATACTTTCTGCAGTATATTTTCATTTTATTAACGTTACTTTCTAAAAAATATCCTTGTAGAAAATTTTACACTTTTTTAGATATACAATTGCTGCTTCTCTTTTTTTCATATTTTGTATAGATTTTAATGCCTATTCAGAAGATAATAGCCAATGCAAAAACTGTAAACTACGAATATCAAGAAGAATGTCAGGTAATTAATTATAATTTTTACAATTGATAATTTATATATCTTGAGTCTAATATCATTTTATTTTCACCTTTAACTGAATTTTTTTCTTTATCTAAATAAGTAACACAACTTAAATATGAGATTGGTAGATATTTATTATTATTATCTAATATATAAAATATTATAAAATGTAGATGACAATCTAAAAACTACTTTTTACATATTTGATATTTTTGTTAAAGTATCTTTTGCTAATATTATTTTTAATTTTCTCACCAAATCTTTTTTATTAGCATTTATATTTTTTATAATACCATGAGCTTTTAGTTATTCTTTCACATATTTTTTTTTTAGTTTTTTTACCTAAATTCCTATATTATAATTGAACCAATTATTTTATCAATAGATTATCACAAAATAATTCTAATAGTTTATAAACCTGAATAGTTTGGCAATAGAACTATCCAATTATTTTCAGATATTAAAGATATTGATATACTAGGATTTAGTTTTTCAATTGTTTTTGATTGTAATTTTTCTAAATCTTTCAAAAAAAAAATTTGTTTAAGTACCAAAATTGATAATATCTCTTACTTGAATACAACCAGTATATTCTCCAGTAAGAGGCTAAGACTATTTAAACCAATTTAAAATGCCAAATAATTTATTTTTAACTTTATTCCTTTTATCAAGTTCTATAAAAAAGGTAGTTTTAATAATAACCTTGATTGATTTTAATTAGATAAAATATATTTATACTTTTTTTTTATCTGATTCTAGGTGAGATACTGATATTTTACAAATTTTAAATATTGCATTCTTAATATCTTTCTGATGATATATTAAATTCTAATTTTATGTGTCGATTTATAATATGTACAATCTATTCAAATATAAAATGAATAAGTTATTATACTATATAATTTAGATAAATTTAAATAAACCTGAGCATGATGACTATCAATAGTTGTTTTTGCTTCTTCAAGTTCAAGAAATATCCATTTTTTAGGCTAAATATCATATAAATCTGGCTAATATCTTAAAATTATCATCAAATCTGCATTATGATAGTGATCTCTATTATTCAAAATGATGCTAACCTATTCTGATTTTTTTCTATAGATTAAATAATCACATGAAGACTAGATGCTGTGAACTAAGTATTCTAACATAGATTATTAGACCAATAATCATATGCTTAAATATCAAATTCAAGTGAATCTGCTTTACAGGTATACACTGCCCTACAATAAATTACCGGATTTTATAAATTTTACTTAGTAATATATAGTAAAATTGAAGATCTTCAGGT